AAAAAAAAAAAAAAAAGAAAATCACCACTTGGGAAACACAGTATTATTGATTCAGACAAGAACCATCAATGGAGGCTAAAACCAGGTGGGGGGTGTTTGGTGAGGAACAAGATATTTATATAGTCTGAAAGCATCTTCCCACAAAACGTGTATTAATTTACAAGGGAAAATGGTAACTTTACAGGGAAAAACCCCGTCAGAAGCCACCTTAGTCAAGTGATCCAAGTTACCGTTACCAGTAAGGGACAAGCAGACCTCACGTGCCCCTCCTGTGACACCGAGGAGGACCTGGTGTCACTCCTGGGGATGCAGATCCTCACATGCATCCTCTCCAGCTGATAGAGACAGCACATCACACGAGTCCCAGTCAAGGTCACTCTGCAAACACCCGGCCAGTGTGCTTCAAAACTGTCCTGGTCACGAGAGACAGACCAAGCTGCCCCAGACAGAAGGAGGGTCAAGAGGGAAGGCAACGGGGCCCTGGACTGGATCCCAGGCCAGATTTTTTTCTTTTTGCTAAAAAGAACATTATTGAGACAATTGGCAAAATATTAATAAGGTCTGAAGATTAGATAATAGTATTGTCTCAGAGTTACATTCCTGATTTTGATCACTGCATGGAGGTGATGTAAGAAAATGCCTTGTTCTTGGGAAATCCACACTGAGGACTTTAAGGGTGAGGAGTCAACTCCTCTCAACAGCTCAGAAAACACTTTATTCAGATGATAGAGAGATGACACACTCGACAGACAGACAGACAGATGACAGATAAGTAAGCAAACAGATGATCGATAATGAGTGATCAGTTGAGGGATGGGTGGACGGACAGATGGACAAATGGAAGCCCAGCGATGAAGGGCACAGTGTGCATGGCCGAGCCTTTCCTGACTCCACCCCACCCTCCCCCGAAACCCCCACCTTTGCTCCCCCCACCTCACCCCCAGTGTGCCCACGGCTCCCCTTGCACACCTGTCTCATTCACTTCCTGGGCACCACCTGCTATTCCGAAGCTTCCCAGACCCCCACCTTGCCCCCCAGGCCTGGAGGCTAGACAGTCAGGGTCCCACCCTGGGTCTGAGTACCAGCCCCATGACCCCAACAAGGACCCTGGGAAGTGCCTGGCCCCAGTGCCCAGCTCCAGGTCGCACTCACTGATGCTAGCTCTAGAGAGGGCCCTGACACCGTGGAGAGGCTTTGGGCTCTCGTCCAAGTCATGGGGCTCTGCCCTGGGGCCAAAGGAGGCTCCCCAGGGACTCTGACCCACGTGTGGTGAGCCACCTACACTGGTGGGCACCGTCACTCTCCATGGAGCAGCACGGGAAACACGGGCCTGTCCTGCCTGGAGCTGTGTCCTCTGGTCCCATGAGCTCTGCAGGCTCTGTCACCACCCCTCAAACCCAGCCCTTAGCGCCAAGGCCTGAGCTCACCTTCCACCAGGCAGGGTGTCTGGGCCCAGGATAGAAACCATTGAAGGAAAACAGGGGCTGGGGGTGGGGGCCCGGGGCACCCATCCAGGTGGGCGCAGACCTGGGGCCTCCCAGGGCCAGAGGGAGAGGAGGAGATGGGGTGGGCTGCGTTTCCCAGAGGTGAGCCCCCAGGGGGAGCTGCCCTGGTGGGTGAGAAGACTCTTGATAGCTCCCGGGTCCATGGGCCCCCAGACCTCCCACCTCCCCTCCAGCTCCAAGGAAACGGAGACGGGGTGCTCCTGGAGCGTGGGGCCCTCACTCTCTCCCTGGAGACCCCAGGTGCCCCTCAGATCCACGCTCTGGCTCCTTTCTTCAGTCACTCATGCCTGTCATGCCCAGGGAGACACCGCTGGGGGGCAGGACAGACGCGGCCCAGAGCCAGGACATTCAGATCCTCCAGTGCGACGGGGAAGGCGCATGGGAACTAGGCCCAGCCCGGGGGGGGCCCGTGGTGGACACGTGGGGCATGGCACTGGGTAGAGGTCAGGGATGGACCCCAGGACCCAGAGGCTCCCCTGGGTGGGGGTGAGTATGTTCTAGCAAGGCACTGTACCAGATAAGGCCCTGTCCACGGGGCTCTGGCCCTCAAGCCCGCCTGCACGGTGGCCCCAGCCTCCCAGGGCCCAGCCCACTGCCCCTCCGAGGCCGCCGCTGCTCCCGGGGTCTTTCAGGGGTCCCTCTGGGCAGTGGGGGAGGCGATGTGGGCCCTCACCCACATATGGGGGCGGGGCGGGGGAGCAGGAAGAAGGCCGGTGGGACCGAAGATGCTCAGGAGACGGGCGTCAGTGGATGTGAATCTTTACTTAGAGGAAAGCGACAGAGCGAGGCTCACGAGACGGGGGCGCCAGCGGGGGCCGGGAGCAGGGGCGCGGCCACAGCGGGGGCGGCGAGGCGGTCACGGGGGCCGGCGGGGTGCTGCGAAGACAGGGCCCAGGGTGAGAGCGAGCGGGCGGGGGCGCGACCGCCACTGCCCACCTGCGCGGGAGGACGGTGAGGCCGAGCCCGCCCGCCGCCAGTTCACTCGCCCCCCCCACCCCCCATCTACACCCGCCAGACCCCATCGCCCGCCCTGCCCACGTCCCTTCCCTCCAGGCCCCCGCTCCCTTACCCCCACCTCCACCGCCCCGGCGTTCAGACATGGTCCCGGGGGCCGCGCGCAGGAACAGCGGCCCCGGGTAAGGCTCTGGCCAGCAGAGTGGGCGCCCCCGCGAGGCGCAGGGAGGAGGGTCCCCGGCTCGGAGGAGAGGACAGGGGGCACACCTACCCGGGCTTTGGGCGCGGAGCCCGTCACTGGGGGGCCGGGGATGGTGCGTTCCCCGCTGCCTTCTGCACCGCCTCCTCTCCCGCCGCTGAGGGCTTCCCGGGGGGCTGGGTGGCCGCCGCCGCGCCCGCCAGGGTGGGCGCCTTGGGGGCCTCCTTGACGGCACGGTAGCTGCCCCCCCACGCCGAGGGCGGCTCTGTGCCATGCTTGCGGCTCAGCGGGTAGGCCCCGATGGCCGCCAGGATGCTGCGGTGGCGCTCGGGGTCCATCTCGGTGTAGTACATCTCCAGGGTCAGCGGGGTGCAGATCTTGTGCTGCGGGAGGGGGCCGGTCAGGGTCAGCCAAGGTGGGAGGGGCGCAGGGTGGGGGGACGGGGAGGAGGGACGCTGCGGGTGGAGAGGGCGGGAGGAGCCCGGGCTGGGAGGGGGCTGGAGCGCCCCTGGGCTCAGATGTGCAAAGGGGTGAGTGCCCAGTGATATCTGCCACAACGAGGGAGCCACGTTCCTGTGCCGCACGCGGGAAGGGCGGGCACCCCTGGGGCTCCCTGTCCCTTCTGCTTTTGAGCAGTTCGGTAATACTGCAGACAGTGTCCCCAATACGTTTATTCCTTCGGGGATCTCAAGCCACCAGAGGAGCAGGAAACATCCTGGTGGCCCCTGGAGGTGGCCCGGGACAGGGGGAGGGAGGCACGTTGCCCCCATGCTTCCACAGAGAGACCCCGTGGGACCCTCCCTGGCACTCTGCCTGGAGGCCTCCAGAGCACAGGAGGGCCTGGACCACCCCTCCCCACCCGCTGCCCGCTCCCCACTCCCACCCAGGCTCGCCAGCCTTACCCGAAGCAGGAAGCCGTCCGGGCAGGTGAACTGGTCGTACCAGATAGCCTTGTACATGATCAGGACACAGCCCAGGAGCGCCATGGCGAAGGCGATCATGCGCGCTGTGGGCAGCTGCAGGGCGGACAGAAAGGGGGAGAACCCAGTTCCCAGCGTGGGGGGAAGCTGCTGCAGGGGCTGGGCATGGCACCAAGGCCACGGGGCAGGCCCTCAGGGTCCAGGCCGCGCACACAGCCGCAGGATCCCAGGCCTCTGTGGGAGGAGCGCGTCCCTCTCAGAAACCACAGGCAAAGGGACAGGTTTTATACTGAAAAATGAAAGGCTTTAGAAATAGTACACTACAAATGATAAAAGCCATCATTACTCAAGTTAAGATCTGAAAAAAAGATGCAGGAAAATATTTGCCAGATACACAGCAGGAAAAGTGACTTTCCACAGTATACAGAAAAGCCACGCATCACTGAAGAACAGACATGACCACTGGCACGCGGTGCTGCCCAGACGGAGCGGGCGTGGCCGGGGCTCCTCTGCTTGGCTGTTGCTCTCACCCAGCTCCACAGCGAGGAAGGCTGGGGGCTCGGCAGCCACAGGTCAGCCATCGCTGAAGGTTGGCACCTGACCTGGGGCTGCCCGGCCCAAGTCCCCCAAGCCGCCTAGACCAACCCCAACCCCGGCCTGTGAATGGGGTGACTCCCTGTCCAAGTCCCCCTGAGAGCAGGAGACTGAGCAGGGCCCGCCCGCCGGCCCGGGGCCTGGGTGCCTCGGCCTGCGCTGCCTGTCCACCTCCCCTTGCCCTGACTCCCCGTAGGACTGAGGCGGCACGGGACCCAAGGGCTCTGTTACCCTGCGCCCTTCCTCCGGGTGGCTGCAGGTCAGCTTCTGGGCCTCCAGGTCGGGGAACTTCTTCGGCTGGTCCGGGGAGGACAGCTGGTATTCCGTCTGCGTCTTGATGACCACCTGCGGAGAGATGAGCCAGGAGGACCCTGAGCTGGAGGGCTGGGAGGGGAGGGGCCGGGGCCAGCTGCCCGGCAGTGGTGTTGGTGCTGACCATCTGCCAGGACTGTCTAGTGGCCGGGCTCCAGTCAATACAAGCTGAGGCTGAGGGAAGGTGGCCGCTGCAATTCTGCCACGGCCATGGCAGCCCTGAGGCCTGGCCAGACCATGGATGGAGCCCCTCAGTCTGCTGGCTGCCTTCAACTGTTGAGGGTGCCAGCTCTCCCTGCCAGGAGCTTTCCCTTCAGCAGCTCCAAAGCTCGGCCCCCTCCTCCAGGAAGTCTGCCCTGACTTCTCCTCTGCTCCCCGAGTCTTGAGGCCCTACCACATGGGGCACAGGCAGGTGCAGTCCTGTGCTCTCTGTGTGCTCCCAAGGGGAAAGGACTGAGCCCTCCCACGGTGTCCTTTTAGAACCGGGTCCAGAACTGTAGTAGATGCAGCCAAAGCCCACCCAGATCCTCAGCCAACAGGAGCAGCACACCTGGCAGTGCCTGGGAGGTACCCCTGCCCCACGGTTGGTTCCCAGCCAGTGGGTGACTGACATGGGACAGGGGGCCGCCCCTCACCTCCACGGGGACTATGCTTGGTGCTGTGCACACTCCAGAGCCCCCGGGGGGATCAAGTAGAGCTCTCACAGGCTCCTTCTGAAAGCTCCCTCCCCATGTCACCTGCCCCGAGGCCCCTCTCAGGCCCTGACCCTAGACGGGGCGCCTGGCCCAGAGGGAGTGGGAATTTTTGTTTGCTGAGCCCCCACTGGGCAGCACCGTGGGCTGGGCGCTGTCTGCGAGGCAGCGGGTGAATTCTCACAGTCGCCTGTGGCCAGTGTACCCCGTTTACAGATGAGGAGAGGGTGGCCTCTGGTGACAAGGGAGCTGACCGAGTCACAGGGATCGCTTGTGGCTGACTGGGGTTTCAGCATGGCCCTTCTTCCACTTGCTCTCCTGCACCTCGGAGGAGGCCACGTCTAAGGAAACCTCCCCCACACCTCTCTGTTCCCAGGGCAGGCGGAGGGCACCCCAAGCTGGCCCAGGCTCCTCACCTGGTCAGGGAATGGTGGCTGGAGCTGGCTGACGTCCAGGGGGCTGATTAGAGGGACGCTGTCCGTGGTAACCCCATCCTGGTCCCCGGGGTCTTTGCCCGGCTTCCCGGAGAAGGTGCAGCCCAGCTTCACCATGGTGGAGGGTGGTCCTCGTCCTGTCCAGAGGCAGACACAGGGTCACTGCCCACGGGCCACCTAGCAGATGTCTACGCCAGCTGGCTGTGGAGCAAGAAGGTCCCGGGCTGGACCTGATGCTCCTCATGCCAGAGCCAGGATGGGCCATGAGCAGCCAGACCAACCTCCCCAGGACAAACTGGGCGAGTCCAGCCACAGGTTTCTCGGCCCTTCCTGCCCCTAGGCTCCCTCTAGGCCCCACAGCCACACAGGGGATGGCGCCTCTGACCAGTGACCACCGAGAGACACAACTCTGGCCGATTCTTCCACCGGCCCACCTGCTCTAGACATGCTCCAAGGGCAGCTGTTCCAGTCAGCAGAAAATGACCCCAGGCAGAGGCCTGGAGAGTAGGGTGGCCAGACTTAGCCAATGAAAGTAGAGGACAGCCGGCTAACTCTGAGTCAGAGAAGCAATGCAGACTGTTTTTTACGTATGTCCCACGTAATACGCAATATAGAACGTACTTAAACTAAAAAGTCATTTGTCGTCCATCTGAAATTCAAATGTAACTGAGCGTCCTGTGTTTTATCTGGAAACCCCACTGGACATGCAGGATGTCACCGAGCTACAGAAAGAGGACGTCGACGAGTTGATCCAAACGCCAGCTGCACAGAACACAGCAGGGAGGGTGCATGCGGGGCCAGACCATCTGGAGAGCTGGACATCCGACCAGAGCCAGAGTCGGGAGGACGTGGAGGACATGGAGGATGTGGACGGGCCCCCGTGGCCTGTAGCAGGGTGAGGCTTCCCCTAACCCTGGGGGGTCAAGGCCATTTCACCTCTAGACTGACCGCTAAGGGAAAAGGAAAGCAGCAAACAGCTTCCAAACCGAAGTAGAAAAGCAAAACACCTCCAGTCGATCCCAAGAAGCAAGAAAGGTCCTCAGTCCAACGACAAGCTAAATCTGTCGTTACAGCCCTCCGACAGAGCTCCAGGCCAGCCAGCATCACCACTGCACTCGACCAATCGCTTAAGGAGGAAATAACGCAAATTTCACACAAAACTCTGCCAACATAAGGACAAGGGAACACACTCCAGCTCGTGAGGCCCACGTAACCTCGACCTCAAACCTGGCACGGACACCGTGGGAGAGGACGGTGCAGGCCACCCCACCCACAGGCATCAGGGCAGAGGCCCCAGACGAAATGCAGGCAGACAGGATCCAGCGAGATACAAAAAGGTCACACATCACGGCAGGTGGGGCGTATTCTGGAAATGAAATTTAGTTTAACATCTGAAAAGCAATCAGTATTTTCACCTTATGAACAGAATAAAGAAGAAAAGTCATCTGATCAATTTCAACAGTAGCTAAAAAAGTAATAAGATTCAATATTTGTTGACTACTTTAAAAATGCATTAGCATGCTAAGGGCAGAAGGAGACTTCCTTAATCTGATAAAGGTTATCCACAAAAATCCTTTCAGCAAACCTTATTGAATGTGAACAGTGAAAGCTCTGCCTTTAAGATCAGGAAGGAGACAAACAGGCCCTTTATGGTCAGTTCTATAAATCATGGTGCTAGAGGTCTTAGCCAAGCTGTAGGGCAGGAAAAAGAAATAAGAGATACAAGGCCTGGACAAGGTTAGGGAATACGCTCATTATTCACAGACAAAACACCTTTTATGTATGGAAAATCCAAAAGAATCTACAGATAAATTATAAACATTGAGAAGTGAGTTCAGCAAGGTTGATGCTTTTACGGTATTCACAAATCAATTATATTTCTATCGGTGACAAAAAATTAGAAAATGATTTTTTGAAAGATTCCATTTAAACAATATCAGAAATATCAAATGCTCAAGAATAGTTCTAAGGAGATGAGAAGGACCTCCATGTGAAAAACCTCATTAAAAACAAAGAAGGCCTGAGACCAAAGAAGGCCTAAATTCCTTACATAAATGAGGAAGGATGTGGTCATGGATTTTGGAAGGTTCCATGTTTAAAATATCACGACCCCCCCAAATGTATCTGTAGAATCAATAAATCCCAATCAAAATTCCAACAGGATTTTTTTGTGTGACCTTAACAAGCACTGTAATTTTATATGGAAGGCAGGCAGACAAGGACACACATGACATCCTGAAAAAGAACGAGGGGTCCAGCTTGTTACACAGCAGTGGAAATTAAGTTGTGTGGTATTGATTGTGGTAGACAAAGACCCATGTGTCACACCCTACACACACAGACCACGGGTTTATGAGAGAGATGCTGCTGCAAAGCGGGGCGATGGCCACCTTTCAATAAACAGATGTCAATGTGGGAAACGGTGAACCCAACCCTACCTCACACCACACAGAGATCTACTCCAGGTATATAAACCAAAGTTAGAAAAGCATCTTAAAGATAACACAGGAGAATATTTTCCTGGTCTCAGGGAGGGAAAGAGTTCTTCAACATGACAAATAAACACTAACCATAAAAGGAAACATTGATAAAAAGATTACATTAAAATTAAGATCTTCTACTCATCAAAACATAGCCTTCAAAGAATGGAAACAGAAACCAAGACTGGGAGAAGATATTTGGACCCATAAATGACTCGGGGCTTGTTGTGGGTTCAACAACAAGATATGCCCAAGTCCTAACCCCTGGTATCTGTGAACGAGACGTTATTTGGAAATAGGGTCTTTGCAGATGTCATCGAGTCAAGATGAAGTTGCACTGGATTAGGGTGGGCCCTGACCCAAAGACTCATGTCCTCATAAGGAGGAGATTTGGACACAGACACACACAGGAAGGAGGCCATGTGAAGATGGAGGCAGATAGTGGAGCAATGCAGCCACAAGCCCAGGGCACCTGGAGCCCCCAGAAGCTGGAGGAGCAGGCAGGAGCCTCTCCCAGAGCCTCAAGGGGAGCAGGGCACTTCGGATATCTTGATTTCTGACTTCAGGCCCCCAGAGCTGTGAGAGAATGAACGTCTGTTGTTTTAAGCCTCCCAGTGGTGGTAATTGTTACAGCAGCCCAAGGAAGCCAACACAGGACAGATACCTAAAACACACAAAGAACAGCTCAAGTTGGTAAAGAAAAAGACAGATAACCCAAGGGAAAAGTGGACAGAGAGGATTTCAGACGCCCATGAATACTGACAAAGTGCTCAACCCTCATTAGGAACCTTCCTCCTCGAGGAAGACAAACTATAGCCAGCAGGAGGAGACATGCTGAAGCTCGCCAGAACCCAGGACGGCGCAGGGAGCAAAGACGCCACATGGGAGGGGCGACTTGCTTTATCTACTGATGGTGAACCTGTGACCAGCCCTGCTCCTGGGTGGACACTAGCAGAAAGGCGGGCATGCACGAACGTGTACAGCAGCACTGTTCCCGCAGAAGCACACACCACCGAACGTCATCCAGAGTAGACGAGGTAAACGGTCGGGCATTTCTACCTGAGTCCGGCGCAGCAGCGGAAGTGAACGGACTCTAGCTACAAGCAGGAACAGCCCCGAATCTCACAAAAACAACATTGGCTGAAAGAAGCCAGGAACAAAGGAAGGTTCAAGAACAAGCAAACACCATCCACGCATTTAGGAACCAATCTCGCCTAGAGGAACGTGCGCTCCTCTGGTCCAGGCCAAGGTTCGAGTCTGGGTGGCGGCGCCCTTGGGGGAGGGGAGCGGCTTCGGGGCGGGATGCGGTTTCCAGTCTTCGCCTGGATGGTGGAAGCCTGGCGTTCCCCTGTGGCATATCACTAGGCTGCCTGTTTGTTTCATGTCCTCTTCTGAACATTCCTTACATTTCACAACAAAAAAAGGTTAAAAACAAACGAAACCAACAACGGAAGGACAGCAGGCTGGTGGCAGAGGCACAGCCACCCCATGCCCTCCCACAGGACTGGACCCCGACGTTGTGCCGAACAGAGAGGGTCAGTGGCTGGGCAGCTGTGCCCTGGCTGTCTCTGTGCCCCTTCCTTGTGAGGACCACTCTGGGGTGAAGGGCAGAGCTCCAGGGCCTGGGCTTCTTGTCCTGGCCTCTGAGTGTGGCCCCTCCCTCACTACGGCCTGTACCCACCCTGCAAAGACTGTGGTGCCTCTGAACCCCAAACTTCTCTCCTAGGGTGACCTCACCATCCCCAAACATCTCTCCCCGTAATGGCCACACCAGCACTGGTGCCCACCAGGCCCGCAGGTCACCGCTCTCTCACACACCAGCAGCCAGGCCCTACTGTGGGTTCCGGGTGCGGGAGGCTGGGGGAGGGGTGGGACGGACGGACGCACGGACGAAGATGTAGGCTTCTGCCCAGCGGCTGACGGATGTGCAGGATAGACTGTGGAAGGCACTGGGCGGGCAGGCCACGGCTGTGGAGAGTGTGCTGGATGGGTGGCCAGGACGGCCACTGTGGGTTGGGCAGGAAGCCGCCGGCACTGTGGACTCCCCAGGGGCTCCGGGTGGAGGGTCCTCTTAGGGCCCTGAACCTGGCCCTTCCTTGGATGCCCGCACCTGGCCCGGGCCCTTATAGACCAGCAAAGCGCCCCCCACTGCAACCCCCCAGGCTGGGAGATCCTCCTGAGGTGGGTCGGGGTCCTGCAAGGGCTCAGCCTGGGGAGGACGCGCGGGCACCTCGGCACCTGCCCGAGGCGAGCGGGCAATCGGTCAGTCATTCTTCAGGCGGACCGTGCAGACGACGTCCGCACTCGGTGAGGCGGAGACGGAGGGGACCCATCCGAATACCGATGTAAAGAGATCGGGGATCCGGCACCGTGAAGACTGGAGAGCTCATCAGAGCAGGAGGGGGCGGCGGAGGGACTGACCCACGGAGACTGCAGAGAAGGGGCTGGGGGCGGGAGGGGGCGGCAAGTGCCTGGGGCTGGAGGGGAGCTTGGCGGGGGCGGGAGGGGTGTGCCATCCGGGGGAGGGGCTGGGCCTTCACCGAGCGGACGCCCCGCGGCTCACAAACCCAGCCTGTGGCTTACAGAGGGGAAAGCAGACGGGAGGGGGGCGCAGCGCAGTCAGTCTCAGGTTGGTGGCCATGTCCGCTGGAGGGTCAGTGCCGGGGTCTCCCTGCTCCCCTCCGCAGGAGGCCCCTCTCGATACGGAGCTCCGCCTCTGGGGTCCCCTCTGAGCCAAACGTAAGCTCCAAGTCCTCTGTCTCCAAGTCCTCTGTCGCGGCATGACGTCCGTGTTACATCATCACAGGTTTCCATGGCAATGGAGATGGGCCAGAGATGACACGTCTCCACGAAGAAAAGGAGCCTTTTGGGGCCCTCTGGACCCTCTGCGTCTGGTTCCAGGCAGAATGCTGGAGGAGGGGCTGGGCTGCACTTGTGACCCCTCCTCCAGAACATTCCTGACCCTGGCTGAGTCCTGCGGACCCGCTGGAGAGGCTGGCTGGGTTCTTCACACGACAGAAACAGAGCTAGTGGAATGGGGGGAGGGGTGGGGAGGGGCGTCCCCACTCCCCCCACCAGCCCCCCTCCCTCCACCCTGCGCTGTTAATTGTGTCCTCTCCAGCCGGTCACCTGCTCCCCAGGACCCGTTCAACCCCTGGGATCGGGGGGCGGTGCACGTCTCCTCTCCGAGGCTTGGGGAGGGGGCACAGGATGAGCGGCGAGGCTGTGCAGATGAATGGATGGATGGACCGACGGACGGATGGATGGATAGACGGACGGATGGATAGACGGACGGATGGATGAATGGACGGAAGGATGAATGGATGAATGGATGGACGGACGGACGGACGGACGGATGGATGGACATATGGACGGACGGGGGCGCCGGACACTCAGCTGAAAGCCCACGGAAGCTCCGCTGCAGGTCACATTACAGACTCGCTGTCACACACACCCCCAACCTGGGATGCTGCGTCACGCCGAGAGGTGCGGGCTTGTGCGGGCACAAGCGTCCTGCGCGCATCGGGCGTGCGTGTGACTGCGGAGCGCGGGGGGACTGCGCGCTTTGCTGAAACCCAGCAGACCCCCCCCCCCCCCCACCTCCGCCGCAGCCCCCACCCAGGCCCGCTCCCGCCCCTCACCCTGCAGGCCGGTCTTTGGTTCGGCTCCTTTTTGAAGGGCAGCTGGATACGGGCGCCACCAGTCCAGCCCTGAGAGGCCCGGGGAGGGGGGCGGGTGGGGGCTGGCGCAGGGCTGCTCGCTTCCCACGTACCAGCCACCTGTGGCCCGCGTCTAGAGCCTGCGGCAGGTGGTTCTGGAGAAATGCCCCTCTCCCGGCCTCCTGGCCACCTCCCGCCAGCCACGCAGCCGCCCCACCTCGGCCACCGCCCCCTCCCGGTGCCGGCAGCGCGTCTCGGTGCTCTGGTCCGTCTGATGCCCCTTCTGCCTCCCCTCTTCTCCCCTCACTACCCCGCCCCCGCGCCCCCTCCCCTCCTCGGGACGCCCAGCTCCCTTGGCTCTCTCAGACCTGCAGGGGTGGAGCCGGCTTACGGGGAGGGGGCTGCAGTTAGGGGGGGGGGGTGATGTCCCGCAATCCCACCCCCACCGGAGCTGCCCCGCTCTGCCGAGGACCGGGGATCGGGCAGCACGTCGGGTCTGCGCAAGGCTGGACACCCATGGTCCTTCGGGCAGGTGCAGGCAGCGGAGGCCCCCGATCGTCCCGGAGACCTGGGGGCAACACCTCCGCTCCGACCAGCAGAGACGCCAAGGGAGGACCCCGGCTCGGCCTGGCCGCCTTAGGGTCAGCCGCAGTGCCCCCCATACACTCTGCCACCCCTTGCACACGCACCTCGCACCGCCGCGCACACACACACCGCCACACGCACTCGGCCCCCGCGCCCCCGCTCCACAAGGAGAAAGGTGGAAATGGCTCACAGGCGGCTCCCCGGCAGCTGCGGCTGCGGCAGGATGCGGTCGCAGGACGAGGATGCGGAGGAAGGATGCGGTTCCAGACGCTTCGCAGCCGCCGGGGCGGGGCGGGGGAGGGGCCGAGCCGAGACCGAGGCTGCTGTTGCCGGGAGACGCCGGCCGGGGGAGGGGAGCGCTGCGGCTGCCGCCCCCGCCCCTCCCGCAGTGCCCCCCTCGGCTGGGCCCCCGCAGCGTCACACACGCCCCTCACAAACGCACACACATCCCTTACACACACGCCCCTTACACATACCCCTCACATGCCCATACACCTCACACTCACACCCCTCACACACACACACACACCCCTCACACACACGCACACATCCTCTCACACACACACACCCCTTACACACACCCCTCACACACACCCCTCAGGCATACACCTCACACACACACCCCTCACACCCCTCACATGCACACACACACTCCTCACACACACACCCTTACACACACCCCTCACATACGCATACACCTCACACGCACACCCCTCACATACACACATATCCCTCACACATGCATACACCTCACACGCACACCCCCTCACACCCCTCACATACACACACATCCCTCACACATGCATACACCTCACACACACACCCCTCACAGCCCTCACACACACACACTCCTCACACACACCCCCTTACACACACCCCTGACATACGCATACACCTCACATGCACACCCCTCACATACATACATATCCCTCACACATGCATACACCTCACGCGCACACCCCTCACACCCCTCACATACACACACACCCCTCACACACACACCCTCACGCACATCCCCCTCACACACCCCCCCATGCACACCCCCTTTGCACACACCCCTCACATATGCATACACCTCACACACACACCGCTAACATACACATGCCTCACATACACACCCTTCACACACACATGCCTCACATACACACTCCTCACATACATGCACCTCACACACACACCCCTACACACACATCCCTCACATACACACCCGACACACACACGCCTCACACGCACCCACCTCTCATACCCCTCACATACACACCAGTCACATACATACACCTTTCACATACACACGCCTCATATATACACACCTCACACACACACACCCCTCAGATACACACCTCACACACACACTTCACACACACCTCACACACACACCCCTCACATACATCCCCCTCACATGCACATACATCTCACATAGGCATACACCTCACATGTGCATATACCTCATATACAAACAACTCTCTCAGACACCTCACACACTTACACCTCACATATGCATACACCTCACATACAAGCACACACCTCACACATACACTCATCAAACACAAACTCTTCACATATGCATACACCTCACACACACACACACACCTCTCACACACACACCTCACATATGCATACACTTCCCATACACATGCACCTCTCCCTCACACACCTCACGCATCTTGCACACACACCTCTCACATGCACACCCACATAGGTGCACAACTCTTGCATATGCACACACCTCACATACACATACACCTTGTGTACACGCACACCTCACTCACACCCCTCACACACATTTCATTCTTTGCTGTTGAATAGTGTCCCATGGCGTGGATATGCCCCGTTTTATCCATTCACCCACTGACAGGCATCTGGACTGTTTCTGGTTTTGTCTGTTGTTGACAGTGTTGCTGTGAACACTCTCGTACAAGTATTTGTGTGGACGTAGGCTTTCATTTCTCTTGGGTAGGTACCTAGGGGTGGAATTGCTAGGTTGGGTGGTAGTTTACATTTAACTTTTTAAGAAAATGCTACACTTTTTTCCCAAGTGGCTGCATCATTTTACGTTCCCACCAGCAATATGTACGAGGGCTCTGGTTTCTCGACATTCTCATCAACACTGGTTCTTGTCATCTTTTTTATTACAGCCATCTGTGTTAGTCTGTTAGGGCTGCCATGACAAACTACCACAGATTGGGTGGCTTAAACAACAGGAATTTATTTCCTCACAATTCCAAAGGCTAGAAGCCTGATATCAAGGTGTGGGCAGGGTTGGTTTGCTCTGAGGCCTCTCTCCTTGGCATGTAGACACCGTGTTTTCCCTCTGTCTTCACATGGTCGTCCCTCTGCATGTGTCTGGGTCCTAATCTCCTATTCTTGTAAGGACACTAGTCAGAATTGGTTAGGGCCCACCTATATGACCTCATTTTAACTTAATTATCTCTGTAAAGATCTTATCTCCAAATACAGTCACATTCTGAGATACTGGGGGGTTAGGAAGCCAACATATGAGTTCTGGGGGGAAACAGTTCTGCCCATAATGCTGACCTAGTAGATGTGTCATGATAACTCACTGTGGTTTGACTCTTCATCCCTAATAACTAATGATGCTAACTAAGCATCTCTTTATGGGTTTATTAGCCACTTGCATATCTTTGGTGAAATGTCTGTTCAAATGTTCTGAACATTTTTCAGTTGAGTTCTTTGTCTTCTTATTATTCAGTTATAAGAACTCTTTATGTATTCTCGATACAAGTCTTTTATAAGATATATGATTTTCAAATTATCTCTCCCAGTCTGTGACTTGTCTTTTCACTTTCTTGGCGGTGTGTTTTGAAGTGCAAAAGTTTGTAATTTTAATTAAGTCCAATGTATCAAAAAAATTTTTTATGTGTCATGCTTTATTTTTTTCCTTTCTTCCCCCCCACCCCCAAAGCCCTGGTATATAGTTGTGTATAGTTGTAGGTCCATCTAGTTCTTCTGTGTGAGCTGCTGCCACAGCATGGCTACTGACAGTTCCACACTCGGGAACCAAACCCAGGCCACTGAAGTGGAGCGCACTGAACTTAACTGCTAGGCCATCAGGGCTGGCTCTTATGTATTATGTTTTGGTGTTGTATTTAAGAACTGTTTACCTAACCAAAGGGTATGAAAATTTTCTCAGGTTTTTCTTCCAGAGGTTTTATAATTTTAACTTTTACGTTTAAGTCTATGACACATTTTGAGTTAACGTTCATGTACAATATAAGTTATAGGTCTAAGCCCTTTTCTTGTGTGTTTGTATGGTATCCAATTATTTCAGCACCTTTTGTTGAAAACACTAACCTTTCCATATCAAATTGTCTTGACATCTTTATCAAAAATGAGTTATCCATACATGTGTGGGTTTATTTCTGGACTCTTAATTCCATTTCGCTGATCTGTGTCTCCATCCTTATGCCTATGGCATATCTTTTATCACTGTGGCTTAATAGCAAGTTTTGAAATGGGGTAACGTGTGTCTTCCAATCTTGTTCTTCTTTTAGAAAATTGTTTTGGCTCTTCTGAGTCCTTTTCATTTTGTATAAATTTTAGGATCAGCTTGTCGATTTCCACAAAGAATCCTGATAGGAATTTGGTAGGAATTGCACTGAATGTATAGGTCAATTTTGGGAGAATTACCATCTTAACAAAATTGAGTCTTCCGATCATTGAACATGGACTATCTCTCCATTTGTTTAGATCTTGTGTAATTTTTCTCAGCACAAGTCTTGTGCTTCTTTTGTTAAATTTATTCCTAGGTATTTTATTATTTTCAATGCTGTTATGTATGAAAATGTTTTTCCTAATTTCATTTCAAATTGTTCATTGCTAGTATATAGAAACAACTGATTTTTGTATGTTTGTCTTATATCCTGAGATCTTGCTCAACTCATTTATTAGTTCTAGTAATTTCTTTTTGATTTCTTAGAACTTTCCAAGTATGGGATCATATCACCTTCAAATTAAGACAGTTTTACTTTTCCATTCCAATCTGAGCATCATTTTCTTTCTTTTCTTGCCTTGTTGCACTGGCTGGAATCTCCAGTACAATGTTGAACAGCAGTGGTGAGAGTGGATATCCTTTTCATTCCTAATCTTAAGGAGAGAACTCTCAGTCTTTCACTATTAAATATGATGTTTGCTGTAGGTTTTTTTGTACATACCTTTTTATCAGGTTTAGGAAGTTCCCTTCTATTCGTAGTTTGTTGAAAGTTTTTATTGTAAATGGGTATTGAATTTTGTCAGATTCTCTTTCTGTTTCTATTAAAATGATTGTCAATGCAAATAGTCAGTAATCATTCTGTAATAAAGAAAAGAAGGGAGTTTTATTTGAGCCAAAGTGAGGACTATGGCCCAGGAGTCGCAGACTTCCAGGGGAAAAAGTGCTCCAAAGAATAGCGATTTTTAGCACAGTTATATACCATTTCAAAACAAAGATACATAGAACAAGCGTAACAGGGGTACATTCCTTCAAGGATTCAAGGGGCTGTTTGCTACAGATTATCACGTACATGGCAGGTCAATATGACCCTGGTATCATGGGAAGGGAGACTTATCTTCAAAGACTGCTGGCCTTGCAAGAAGGGTGGCATCAATTCTTACCTTCAAAAGAGTGCATTCTTTACCTTAGGGTCATGATCAAAGCAGACGTACAATGTATGTTTGACAGGCCACAAGTCAGGCTTCTTTGGTTCAAATAAAATTCAGGCCAAATCAAGTTTAAACCAGAGTGGCTTCCCCATATACTTCAATATATAAGAATTTTCTCATATCATGGTTGTGTGTCTTTGTCCTTCTTTCTAGCAATATAGTATGATACTTTCATTTAGTTTTTGAGTATTAAACCTACTTTGCATTCCTAGGATAAATTCCTCTTTATGTGTTGCTGGATTTAGCTAATATTTTATTAAGGATTTTCATGTCAATGTTCATGAGGAATATTAGCCTATAGTTTTCTTCTCCTCTTAATGTCTTTGTCTGCCTTTGGAATCAAAGTAATACTGGCCTCATGGAAGGAGTGTTCTCACCGCTGTAGTTTGTGAAGATTGGTTTCCGTCCTTCCCAAACGTTGCCTGCAGGCCTGCGACGCTTCTGAGAAGAGGGCGGCTGTTAACTGTGTTGCTGGTGCTCTGCGCAGGAGACTAGTTTTTCTCTTGCTACTTTCAAGATTTTCTCTTTGTCTCTGGGTTTCAACAGTTTAACTACGATGTGTCTTTGTTTATCCTACTCGGGGCTCACTGAGCTTGTTGCATCTGAGGATAAATGCTACAGATTTGGAATGGTTTTAGCCGTTATTGAAATATTTTTTC